CCCCGCTCGTCGCAGGCTCGGTTCCAGCTTTCCACGAAGAGCGCGCCGCAGGTAGTTTTCAGGCGATTGACAATTTCCGACCAGGTCTCGAGTCTGTCGCGTACGTTGCTCCATTGAGGCGACCAGTGGTGATGTTGCATCTGGGCGTCTTGTATGGGCGATCCTGGGGATCGCCTCAGTTCCTCCGCCCAGATCACCCCTGGCCGTTCCCTGCGCGTCCCAGCCCCGCGAGCGCTCCCACTGGATGTCGCACCCCCAGTAGCCCCATCGAGACCTGCCGCCAACCTACTCGGATCCAGGTTGGGCCGCAAGGTGAAGCCTCCATGGTGCTCCAACATGCGGTTCGTCTCCTGCGGATGGGCGGGCGGTGACAGGCACCGTGCGCAAGGATTCCACGCGTCGGCTGGTGCGTCCTGGGGGCCCCCGAACGGCTTGCCTTTCAGGGAGGGTCAGGCCAGGTGAGTGGCACTGGGCCTATCCCAGATTGTAAGCCAGAACTTTTCGATGCGCACGCATAGGTGCTGTCCTCTGTGCGCCTTCTCGACTAGCCCTAGGACCATCCCCTGGCCAGGGTCAGGCAGCAGTCGCTCTCCCTGCTCATCGGCCTGCGCGTGCCAGCAAGCAGCTCCGTGCATGCCCGCGTCATCCCTGATGACGATGCAGGCTCCCCGGCGGACGTCGGGAGCTGGTCCTCAGCGAGTTCCCGAAACATTGGGCTTCATCATGGGGGAGGTGCTCTTCGCGTATCCTACGGTCGTTGCCCAGGCGCCGCGTCCTCGTCGGAGCTAGGGGCGCGCTCGCCAGGCCGATGCTGGCTCCTTCTCCACCTTTTACGTTAGGCAGACTTTGAGGGGAGCTCGCAGCGTCGTGCAACATGACTCTCATGGGCATGCGAACCGATCGCCAGGCGTCGCCAGGCCATGGTGGGGGCGGCGCGCTGGCTCTTCCGCGCGGCTTCTGCCAGGGTCTGGTCGCTGCCCTCTCCAGTCAGGCCACCGCGCCGCTCTGCCTCCCCAGAAGCAGCAGGCTCCTGTCAGGCGATCGCAAACATGGATCAAGGGGGCGTGGATTAGCGACGGGTCCCGTTTCCATAGGAAATCGCGGATTTCCGCCGCCGAACGTGGCGGGACCAGTCGCATTTTGGGTAGGGCACCTCCCCCAAAATGAGACATGGATTAGCGATCCATGGATTTGGCGCGCGGTCGCCAAATCCATGGACCGCTAAGCCATGTTTGCGCGACCCCGATCCTGGGTCGAGGGGCTGCCTGGCTCTGGGTTGGCGTTGGGACTGTCGTCGGTCTGCTCGAGCGGCGCTGCGGCGCATGCGAGCGCTCCAGGTTCCGTGGCCGCCGGCCTACTGTAGTTGGCCAGCTTGGCTGCATCCGCCTGGCGGATGCCTTGGCTGTCGAGATAGGCCGCCAGCGTTTTGGCGTCGTACCGGAGCGGGTCTGTGCCCCTGAACGTGGTCTTGCTCCCCAGGAAGGCCTTCCAGGTGGGCCGCATGTTGTCGTCTCTGCCTCCACCCGTGTGCCTCCCCTTGACCGCGATTCCCCAGGTGGCGATGTCCACCAGGGCCGCGTGCCTCCCGTCCCAGGGGCAGTTGTCCGGTATCCCGCTCGGCGGTATCGCGTCGCTGTCGATCGAGGCCAGGAAGTCGAGACATTCGCCGATGGCTCAGCACCTTGCGTCCACTGTCCGGTCGCCGCACCTCTCCAGCTTCTTGACACGCCACTCCTCGACGAAGCCGCCACGCCTCGTCCAATTCGTGGTGGAGCTTGCGGGTGTAATCCGTCATGATGTGTGCGACGTCCACTTCGTGCTGGATGCGCTGCGAGGCTGGCCGAATATCGTCGGATGCTGCAAGTGAGGCTACCGTCCAGCACGCCAGGTTGGGACAGGCTGGGGACGGGAGCGGCGCGAGGTCAGCCAGCGCTGAGGCGGGTTTTGCTGGCATGACGGGCAGTGGAACGCGTGTCTCGTGGGCAATGCAGGGGGGCTCGTGCGCCAGCCAGGTCGCGCCGGGCTGCGGGGGGGGGGGCGCGCCCGTAGTGTGCCGTGCCCGAGCGTGCGCAAGAAATCGGAGAGAACGTCGACGTTCGTCCACATGTGTACCTTGGCGACGCTCCTGGAGAGGGCAGGGTTGTATTCGTCCCAGGCCCTGCGCCGCCCTCCGCCTGGGCGACTCGCCCATTCTACCAGGTGAGCGTATCTGAACTGCAAGCATGTCCCCTCCCATGTTCATTCGTTCAGCTCCAGCTGCCCGGCTCTGAGCACCGTGCCGCTCTTCCACAGGGTCGTGAGAAAATGCCTGAGAGGGCCCGTGTCCGCGGCTGCTGGCGCCGCATTGTCAGCGTCCTTGTCCGGGTTTTTGGCGCAGAAACTGACCCAGTGCAGTTTAACCTCGGGGCCGTAGTTGCACCTGACATATTCGAGCAGGTTCAGCAGTTCGGCGCGCGTCAATTTGCCGAGTCGGCCGTCCTGGAGGTCGGGCAGAGGCGGCGGCGGGCAGTTGTCGGGCAGAGCAGGTAGCCAGTAGTTGTCCTGGAACCACTTCCCTGGGATGTCGGTCTCCAGGTGCGGGAGCGGGCCCCGCTGGCCCCGCCTCGCGTGCGCTGCAGGGCTTGGTTCGCGGGAAGAACCGCCTGTCCTCGCCTGTCCGCTCCTGGCGGCGCGGGGGGAGCGCTTCCCGCGGGCGGCTGGAGGGCTGCTGGCGTCCCTGTCCCTTCTTGGCGTGGTGCCGGAGTGTCGTCTCTGGCCAGATCAAGCAGTGGCGAATTGTCTTGGCGTGCCTATAGGCCAAACAAAGAGTGTTCTACGAACCTTATGTGGTCTGCGCGGAATGTCCTTCTGCGCGAAATGTCCTTCGAACATTTCTGGCTGAGACTGTCTTGTTTTAACGCATCGGGTTTATGTACTGAGACCGTTGTTCTTCGTATCAGGACATGTCTGGGTTCTAAGAACAATTCGTGCTAGGCCTATGGGAATGCTGGGAAGGTCGGTCCCTGCTCAAGGGGTTCTCCAGACCTCCCTCTGTGTGGGGGGGCCTTGCCAGTTGTGCCTTCAGTTGAGACCAGTAAGGCAGATGCGCGTCAGCGCCGCGATGAGCGTCGCGCGTCGTCGCGCCTCTCGGGGCTGCCCATGGGTCGGACTTGTGGCGATCGTGCCGCGCGACCTCTAGCGCCATCCTTGCCCTTGCAACCCGGTCGGGTAGGGCTGCTGCCTTCTCCTTCTTGCCGATCGCATCCAGGGGATTGGTTGTGTCCAGGTTATCGGCTGCGTCTTCCTAGAGCATGAGCGGGTCCAGGTTGGCTGTTATTGCGGGTGAGATGGCCTGTTGCGCCCTGCTAAGCTCCAGGCCCTTGCCCAGGTTGTGGATGCAGGCATCGGCTGGTGTTGAGGCGGCGACCAGCGGGTTGGAGCTGAGTCTGGCGGCGGGGCCAACCTTTTCGCGCCTCTGCGGGTCTTCTGGGTGGACCAATTTCCCCGCCCTGGCGAGGACGGCCTGCTTGCCGGATGGCCGCGCGTCCCAGATGTGGACCAAGCAGCGCGGTGCCGCCTGGCGTTCCACGCTCTGGCACAGATCGCACGCCCCCAATCGTCAAAGCTGGGGAGCCCACGCACCAGGTCGCTCGTGAGGGCGTCAGCAGGTTTGCCGGGGCGGGTCAGGGCGGAAGGCAAACATCCCAGGTGGTGCCCGCCCGTTTCCCACGTCAAGGCTGGGACTGCCGCTGAACACGATGCGGCTCGGGTGCTACTTATGTGTTGGAAGGGCGGGTGGGAGTGAGCGAGACGGCTTGCGGGCGGGGAGGATGTCAGACCCCCCTCCCTCCCCCCCTCCCGTACCCCTCCCGTACCCCCCCGTACCCCAGGGGAACAAAAAGGAGGGAGTCGACGTAACTATGAAGTTTCTTTTCTCTGTTCGTTCCTAACTTTCCTTGGGACTGACGAGGGCGACGACGACGACGACCACGACGACGACGACCACGACGACGGCGGCGGCGGCGGCGACGACGACGACGACGACAACAGCGTCTCACGCACGCCGAAGGGTCGGCGGATTTTTGAAACATTTCTGCTAACAATCCGTTTTTTTTCTCTTCCTTCAAAATGGTACTCTCGCTGCAGCGTGGGAGTCATTTTTAGAGCGGCGTTTTGCTCCCTTCGTTCCGAATGGCACTCGCCCCAGCGCGAACCTCTTTTCTGGATCCAAGTCTTTCCCCGTCGTTGTCGACTCCCTCTTCTCCAATCCTCCGCCTTCCCCTGGTCCTCCTGCTTCTCCTGCTTCCTCTACTCCAGCTCCTGCCTCTGCTGTTCGTCCTCGTCCTCCCTCCTCCTTTTCTTCCTGCTCATCCTCCTGCTCATCCGCCACCTCCTCCTCCTATGTACGCAGCTCCCCATGTCCGATTGCGCATATCACGATGGGGTCTATTTCGGGATTCTAGTTCGGCGATGACATGCGTCCGTGGATAGAGAGAATGCATCAGCGCAATGGCAAGCGATGGGGGGCAGGGATGGGATGTCAGAGATGGCGCGAGGTCACCGAGCTTGATCTCCTTCCCTCTTCGCTCTCGTCTTTCCCCTCGATTGTATTTCTTTTTCTTCTCTTCCCTCACTCCTCTTCTTTCTCCTCGTCCCGCTCCTCTCCTTCATTCTGTGGTGTTAGTCCCCTCCTCTCCTAGTCTCATCCCTCGCCTTGTGCTGCTTCCGTTTTTTGTGTTGTGTTTGTTTCATTTTGGACCTCGCACCTTTACGGGGTGCGCTGGAGGCGTTCCTAGGCAGCTAGAAGTTCATCCACTCCTCTCTCGCACCTCCCTCATTCCTTGTCCCATTACCGCCCCCACTCCATTCCCCTTCCCCTCCCTCCCCTTCCTGCTGCTCCTCTTGCTCGTCGTCTTGCTCGTCATCGTCGCCATGCTGCTCCTCGCCCACGTCCTCGTCCGCGCCCCCGCCCCCGCCTGCGTTAGCGTCCACGTCTCTGTGCGCGACGCCCCCGGTGCGAGGCACCGCCCGACCTGGTCAGCTACAATGCTGCGATCAGCGCCTGCGGAAAGGCTTCCCGTGGGTGCGGCGGGGGAGGGCGAGGAGGATGTGTGACGAGAGAGGTTTGAGGACTGCGGGGTCTCGCCGCAGGGTTCCGAGCCGCACGACAAGGAACACGACAAGGAGACCGCGATAAGCTAGCCAGCGCGAGCGAGTCAGCGGGCCCTTTGCGGTTGAGGTGTCGTCGCGGGGTGACGCTGGGCACGCCATTTCTGCTTGGCGTGTCGCGGGTTGACGCGCTAAGACGTTTAGCGTAGATCGCCTGGAAGCGTGCTACGGGCGCTTGGCGTGCATTCCCCGGCATGTTGAGCTATTTTTTCGCGCCTCCCTCCTGGTGCGTGCGTTTTCTGCCTACTTCAGGGGTGCGCCTTTTCAACCACGCTTCCTGGGGAGGAGGAGCAAGATGAGCATGAGAGGAAAAAGTGGACATGTGAAAGGAGGAATCTGGCGCGCGGTCTTACCCGAAAATGGCAGTCGTTCGCTCGCGCGCGGCCCCGCCTCCGAAGACCTTTCGCAGAACAACTGACGCGCCAGTAGATTCGAGAGGGAACGCAGCTTCAGGGATACTCTGGGCTCTGCGTTGATGGCAGCATCTCCCTCGGTTGCGCGCGACTCCGCTCCCGACATCTTGGGGAGGGGAGAGCGTGCGCCGCGCCCCAGCGGGAGCGCACCATTCAGGAGAGTTCTGCGCGGCGCTGAGGCGAGCTGTGAGGCCACATGTGAACCCCACCCCACCACTTCACGATTTCTGGGGGGGGGGAGGTGGGCGGTAGGGTTCGCATGTGGCCTCCTGCGAGAGAGATATTTTGCTCCTTCGCGTGCGGCACCGCTTCCGCTGAGCCGGCGAAAGAAGCAAAATGGGCTACGTCCGCCCACGCGGGACCGACACTTTCAGGAAGTTCTTGCGCTACGCAGGGGCGGGAGGAAAACGGCTTGTGGGTGCACTGGGCGGCGGATGCATCAACAAAACGGAGCCTCCTTGCCTTGCAAATCTACGCGCGAAGCGAATGCGGGGTTCGCGCGGCACCTGGCCATCCAAGCCAGCATGCTTGTGCGTCTGCCGTGCTGCCTCTTTTAGCGTGGAGGTTCTCACTGGGCTTGGCGAGGAAAAGTCTGCGCGGCCCTCGAGCGAGAGCAACATGTTAATATCTCGCGTACGGCCCTGCCTCCGGTCGGCTTGGCGGGTGTGAGCAACTCGCGCAGCGCCCAAGCGCAGAGCGCAAATCTCCAGGAAGAATCTGCGCGAGTCGAGGACGCCATTTCGCTTTCTCTGGTGGTATGAGCGCTGCCTCCCAGTCTTGCCGCGCATTCTGTCACGTCGACGGAAAGGTGTAGAGCTATTGTTTTGACATGTAGAGTCGAACCACAACGCGTTGAATCGTCATAGTGGCTGAATCGATCGGAACGACGGTGTTCAGTACTAAGAGGGCTCAGACAGGAATACGAGAGAGACGAAGACCATGATAGTGGCGCTGATTATGGGGACGCCGAAGATGATGACAGTGGTTGTCTTTATGACTGCGATGACGATAGCGATGGAATGGTGATGATGATACTGATGACTATGGTGAAGCTGAAGGTGAAGATGCTGGCGCTGACCGTGATGATAGCCGCCATCTTGTTTCAATGCCCGATGCCTATGACGAGAACCGTTTGGGGTGAGCCAGATGGGGTGTTTCTTCACCGATTCTGCTTGGCAAGCAGCGAAAACCAGCGGCAAGGAAGCCACTGCACGGGAGCGTCTCCTTCGCTTATTCCGGGGTGGATCGGAGGTTCGCGGCAGTGGGATCGGGTGGCTGCAATCCATCAGTCGCGCGGCCCCGGGACTTCTTCAGAAAGTCGGGCGGCATCTTGTGACCATCGAGCGTCGCCAGGCGCCGCTCGGCACGGTCGTGCGCGGGGGTGGGGGACCCAACTGCGGTTCGCCATGCACCAGCAGCAGGGGCCATGAGAAGGAGGATCGAGGGCATCATCACACTCCCTCAGCAGCGCGCCCCCGTCCGACGGGAGGCGGCAGCGAGCCAGGGCGACTTGGCCGTCACGACTGTGCACACAGCTTCGCCCAGAGTGGCCATGGCAGGGTGCAAAGGACGAGGGAGTTAACACCGACGTGAAGGGCAGCGCCCGCGTCATCCCCGAAGAGCGGTGTGAGACAGAGCGGGGAAGACATCGCGGCAGGATGAGCCTTGCTTACAGCTCGAAGGACAGCTGCCGCCTTTTGCCACGCAGTGCGGGCTCCGAGGACTGCGAAGGGCCAGAGGCTCGACGAGGTTCAGGCGATCGCAACCATGGATTAAGGGGGCGTGGATTAGCGACGGGTCCCGTTTCCATGGGAAATCGCGGATTTCCGCCGCCGAACGCGGCGGCACCGGCCGCATTTTGGGGAGGGCACCTCCCCCAATCCATGCTTGCGCGCCCCCGAGAGGTGCACGGCGTGCTAAGCACCGTGGGAGCCAGATCAACGGGCTCGTGGGGGCGGTGCAGGTGCAGATGGCGGCACGCGTTAGGCCGCACCCTCCCGCAGCGGATTGCGGAGACGGCCGAGGGCAGGAGCACGAGCTCGGGCCATCGAAGAAGAAAAAACGCCATAAACACAAACTTTTGGCGCTCCGCGCGGATTTCTTGGCTCCGCGCCTGGGCCCCCCTGGCGGCGCCTCTGGCGCCGCCCCTGGCGCGCTCTGCGCGCCAGGGAGGGGGGTCCAGCGCGGATCCAAGGAATCCGCGCGGAGCGCCACAATTGCATTTTTTTTTTTTTTTTTTTTTTTTTTTTTTTTTTTTTTTCTTGGTCACCAGGTCAATACACGGCTCGGGGAAGCACAAGACTCCAGGCTGCCTGGACTCGAGTCAGCCGCCCCTTCCTCAAGGGTCTGGTGTTCGTGAGATCTATGCAGCGGGAGTTCGCGTCAAACTTCAGACTCGGTCACGCCATTCTTCAGACGGCCCCGTCGGAAAAGTTCGAGCCTCCCAGGCTCGAGTCTTCTGCCTCCTTGAGCGGCGATGGCGCTTCCCAGGGTCCTCCTCGAGGTTCCTTGGCGCAGTAGCCGCCAGCTGGGACGGGCGTTCGACGGTCCCGACGGCCACCCGCCCAGGTCTCAAGCTCGACCTGCCCAGCGGGTCGAGGCAACAGGGCCCGGCGCGCACGGCGCTGTGAACCCGCCGCCCGAGTGCCTCACGAGTGGCACGGGCGAGCTCACGGATGGCACTCGCGACAGAAAGCCGGAGCACCTGGCTCGGCAGGCGCTAATCATCCTGGGGCTCGTCTGCAGGCCTGGCGGTGCCGACGCCGGCCCGCGAGGAGCGCCACGAATCTTTCAATCCTCTCTCCCTTCTCTGCGCTTCCTGCCTTCCTCCGCCTCCACCTCTCTCTCTCTCTCCCTCTATATGTATATTGTGCTTCCGCTACATTCCTCTACCACCTCTCCTCCCTGCCCTGGCCCCGTCTGTACCTTCCTCCGATGCCTCCCCCCTCCTGCCTTCTCCCCCTCGTGCTCTCTGCCTCTAGACCTCCTGCCCTCTGCCTCCTGCTCCCATCCATCCTTCCCCCTCTCGCGTCTCTCCTTCGTCCCGCCCCTTTCTTCCGCCTTCCCCGCTCCCCATCCCTCTCCCTGGCTACCCTTCGTTTCTACCTCCCTCCTCCATCTCTCTCTCTCTTTCTCTCTCCTGCGTCCGCCTCCTCCCTCCACCGCCCCTTCTTTTGTGTCCGCAGCATCCTTCTTCCATCGTCCCTCTCCCCAATTCCGTCCTCCTTCAAGAAGGCTCAACTCCGTCCTGCCCCTCCTGCCCCACCCGCAAGACTTCACCGAGGGTTCGTCTCTCCAGCCTAGAAAATAGGCGCGCGCGTGGTTCTACGGTACATCTATGTACACATAAACATATCTGCATCTATACACACATACATACGTACACACGTACATGCATACGTACATACACACATACATACATATTTACATACGTACATAGGTTCGCATACACACATACATACATACATACATACATACATACATACATACATACATACGTACGTACGCACGTACGTACGTACATACATACATACATGCATCTATGCATGCATACATGTTTACATACATACATACACACATGCATACATACCTACATACATTCATGCATTCAATCATACATATATATACACATACATACATTCATATATACACATACACACATACATACATGCATGCATACACACATGCATGCATGCGTACATCCGCACATGCATACATGCATACATGCATGCATGCATACATACATATATACATACGTACACATATACATACACATGCACACACATACACACGCATTCATTCATACATACATACATACATACAGACATACATGCATGCGAATACACATACACAACCATGCATATACATTCATTTTTATACATACATATACGTATACGCATGCCTGCATGCATGCAGATATTTTTACATACATGCATACACCCATACATACATACGCACATACACACGCACCTACATTTTCATATACATGCATACTCACATACATGCATACACACATACATGCATACATACATACTTTCACACATGTACACATACATTCGTACGTCCGTGCATACATACACATACGCATACACGCATACATACACACATACATACATACGTACGTATGCGCATACGTACGTATATACATACATTCATTCATTCATACATACACACATACACACATACATACAGGGAACCATACATACAGGCAGGCAGAGAGACAGACATACATACAGACAGACAGACATACACACATGCATACATACATACATACGTACCTGTATTCATACATTCACATACACACATATGCATACATACACATCTACACATGCATACATACGTACATACGTACATTCGCACATACATACATACGTACATACATACATCCATATATGCATGCATACATGCATACATGCATACATGCATACATGCATACACGCATGCATGCAAACATACAAACGTACACACATACACACATCCATTCACACGCG